GCAAGAACATCGCCGGTTCGCGTCCCGGTGGGGGCACCGGAATCTTTCTGCGTGGAGTTTGCATGTTCTCCCCGTGCAGCGTGGGTTCTCTCCAGGTTCTCCGGCTTCCTCCCACAAGTCCAAAAACATGTTGAGGTTAATTGGTGATTCTAAATTGTCCGTAGGTGTGAATGTGAGTGTGTTTGGTTGTCTGTCTCTAAGTGTAGCCCTGTGATAGACTGGTGACCTGTCCAGGGTGTCACCTGCCTTCGCCCTGAGTCAGCTGGGATAGACTCCAGCCCCCCTGCGACCCTAGTGAGGATTAAGCGGTGTATAGATAATGGATGGATGGATGGATTCTCTATGAACAATAGCAGAGGGTATACATTATGGAGTTCTGACTGGATGTGTCATAGGAACCTCCATGCGATCGGTTGGTGATGAATCACTTTTACACTGCTGGTATTTTATGTAATATAACACAGACTAGAAAATCAATTAGTATATTAGTATCTATCATGAAGAAGATTTAATTATTGACATTAATTTGACCAAAAACTGAAGTTATGTCAGTGTATCCTTCATTATGGGACAGTGCAAGATCCAGATGTTTATATAAAGTTAAAAGTTAAAGAGCTCAAATCTTCAGCTGTCGTGTTAGAAATATGGCGCTGTACTGAGAGTGCACTGAGTGGTAAAACAAATATATTAACGTACAACATTTTCTACCAGCATTCCTTCTCATGCATCACCTGCAGCAGCGGTGCTTTTCTGCCCTCATAAATTCCTATAACGCTCATAACTCACCATTATAACAACTCATTTCCTCTTGACTGAAGTAGGTCGAATGGCATTGGTCCATTTTGTGAGGAAGAAGAGTAAAATGATGCATCAAGTCCCCCTCCTTTACACACAGGACCTGATGAAGAAAACCTGGATTAACAGAGAACACTGATAACTGCCATCATGATACCCATTATGCCTCAGTCTCGCTATGTCAAAGTTGATCTGAATGAAACATAAGAAAAATAACAATGTTAAGTGATATTAGGAAGCCAATCCACAACGTAACCCCACATAGTTGTGTGGATATGTAAATAGTCATCACTCAAAGGTCCCTTATTGCTGGTAAAAATCGTCAACAACACTAGCAAGTTCTCCATTTTGCTGGCAAACTACTGTACTGAGTTAAGATAATTGGTTTTAGTCAGTAAACAGAGAGTCTGATTAACACTGGATTCGCCTCAGACACAATAAAGTTCTCATGTGGGCCAACCACAGGAGACGCTTTAATCCCAAGAGATCCTAAAAATAACCTGCACTGAAGTTAACGTCTGGAGATGATGTCTGAGGGAAGCTAAGACATGTGAGTGCGAGTAGAGTCAGACTCAGATTTACAACTACATGATAGATCCAGTATATTTTTGCCATATTAAATAAGGCTGCAACTGATTACTTTCCGTTTCTATGAATCTGAGGATTATTTTCTCACCGAATGATTTTTTAGTCTATAAAATGTTGGAAAATGGTAATGAAAAAAAAAAGATATCAAAGAAAATGTTGATCAGTGTTTACTAAACCCCAAGATAATATCCTCAATTGTCTTGCTTTGTCCACAACCCAAATATAACCATGTTACTGCCATAGAGAAGTAAAGGAACCAGAAAATATTCACATTTAAGAAGCTGGAGTTAGAAAATCTGGGATTTGTTTTGTCTTTTAGAACATCCTCAAACCAATTACTACCAAAACACTACCTAAGTCTGACTCTATGAAGAGGACAGTATTCAGGTCAGTTGTGTTTTTGAAACAGTCTTTCACATGAGGTTTGGGTAATTAATAGAAAGGCTGGTTTTAAAAAGAGACTAAAAATGTACTAACACCTTAGCATTCTTGCTCATCCTTATTGAGTGAGATTGGGTCATGTGATACATGACTCGTATTGTGTTTTTCTTTATTTCTAAGCAAATAGTATTATTATATTGTATGTTATATTAATATTATTATAGAGTACAGTCATGACTCAATAATCCGACCCTTAACAATCCGAAAACCTTGCTATCCGACAGGTTTTTAGGAAAAATGAACAGAACCCATTAAAAATAGCCTTAACATACCGACAGCCTTCCAACTCCAAAATGATATTTTATGTCACAAATAAGGATAACAGCGTATTATCTCACTGAACAATACGACAGATTGGCTACGTTCGGACTGCAGGACTTAATGCTCTATTCTGATTTTTTTGTGAAAGCCTTGAGTTCGTTCACATTTCCAATTAAATGTGACTTGTATGTGATCTGCTGTGTGAACTTCATACGACCCAGAAGTGTCCCGCATGCGCAGAAGAGGACACGACAACGTCACACGCAGCGAGCGTGCTCAGTGTTTATGAAAGCAAACACGGATGGTAACGGTGGAGCGTAACTGCCACTCCCCCACCGCCGCCACCATCGATGGTGGAAACAGAACTGTGACCACTAACTAAACTGGCATCAGTAGTCAAGTACCGCCTGTGCATTCCGGCCACATCCACCCCGTCGGAGTGCTCCCCTGGGCTGGATGTGTCCCCCGACAGCGCCAAATATTCATCATTAATATGGCCCAAATATCCGGAGCCCAGAAAGTGCTATTCAGACCAGCCCTACTAGTTATTATAACAACTATGAACAATGAATATTTTCAACAAATGACCCTTCAAGCCCTCCTTGTATCTCGACCTTCGTCTTGACAATCCGACAGCCTTCCTATCCGACATAAAAGAAGGTTTTAAATTTAGTGTCAGATTATCGAGTCACGACTGTATATTATTATCTTTAAATATTTCTATGTATTATCTCCTATGTATTACTTTTTATGTATTTTTCTATGTATTTCTATTATTACTTTGATTATTCTTGTTGTGTGTTTTTGTTGTTTTTGTTCTATTTTTACTTGCGACTGTAATGCTTGTTTTAGATTTTTTTATTGTTTGGACCCCAGGAAGACTAGGGGATCCTTTTATATAAACAAATAAACAAATTAACTGTTTATCAAAATAGTTAACCACTGATTTTACAAATCTAACAATAATAATAAACTTGATGTTTTAAATGCAATTTATATTCCATGAAGACAACTGATATTATTAAATCATTAGCCATTCAGGATTACAACTAACAAAAGTATTATTCACTAACATCATGTTAGAGGAAACTATTGGCTCAAATGGAGATTAGCAGCTTCCACAAACCGTTTTTTAAATCTCTATAAACTGCACTGCTTCTTTCCAAGTGGCCACCATCGCTCTTTCGATTCAGAAACAGAAGCAAAACTTAAAAAGGGGGGGATTAAAAAATATTTACCAATGCTAAAGTGGAATATTTTTCATCTAGACGGTTGTAAGAGTCTTTGGAGTTTGTGTAAAAACCTTCAAAACAACGATTAAGTGTGTTTTTAAATAACTTCACATGGTTTACAAACATGGTGAGAGAAACACTTTGAGTCCCAACGTAGCATGATGCTAATAAATAACAAAAGGAAGGCTACTTTTCATTGGAATAAGTCAGCCAGCTGTTAACGAGGTGGCTCATTAGTTAATTAACTTTGCTGTGCGTGTGTACATTATGGTTTATTCACCTGCTGTTCAGCTTCTCTCTCTGTCCGGCAGTGTTTGGGGGAAATGTGCTCAACAGAACCGGTCTGCAGACCTCCACGGTCCGCTCGGTTCCGGTGCAGGCTCTGAGTGATGTGCGGATCGATACTGAAATATCCATACTTCTCATACTAGATCTTTATGCTCTAAAATCGATTCTCAAATCAAAATATCGATACTTTTGATACTTCAGTCATTTGAGGTAGTGTCTATCATTACCAGGAGCACAGTAGAAAGTAACTAAACTATTGAGAGCTGAACTAAATGGCACTCGGTTGGTGGGAACTACTTTTTCTTCCGCCTGGGTAAGTGCGTAATCCATAAACTCCGCTGTTCAGTCAGTCTGGCAGAGCGTCAACGGAGTCAAGCATCCGAGACGCGGTTTGTGATGCTTGTGGAAAAACGGTATGGAGTTTTTGCAAGACAACAAACGTTATGAAGCACCTCGAGTTAAACCACAACACAATATAACAAAATATTACACCGGGCAGACTGTTTTAGATTCAGGTAACCGATCATTTCAGAACCGTCTGAGGAGACGTCACTTGTTACCTCGCGTGATTAATTGGTCTCTACACGTGCAGGTTTGTTGCGTACTGACGTCATCACGTCAATTAAAAACTTCTCCTTCACGTCGAAATAACTTCAACAAATACAACTTCCCCACCTAAATGCTTCTGTAAAGTCCCTTCATACTGACTGTAAGAAAACACCAATGAGAAAACATTAAATAGAGGAATGTGTAAAGAAAATAGTAGGGAAATAAATTCATTTTTATTTTTTAAATCACGAGGTAATTTATAAACTAAATGTACCATTTACAAGGAAAATGTGATAATTTAAATAATAAATTCACACAATTATACAAAAAAGCCATATTTTAACAAAACTTTTGATATTATGACCGCACTGGATAGACTGCATGTTTTTATGTGTGATTTAACATTTCTGACACTTGTGTGCTGTGCTGATAGTATTGTGTTGTCACTGACAGTATCAGCTACGTAAACCTACCATGTATATATATTTAAAGTCTCTTTCTGGTCGTTGATTAAACCCCAAGAAACTCACCTCTGTATAATTAAGTTACATATTTAGGCTTTGTTTGTTTGTTCTTTCTGTTTTCTCTTCTGTTATAGGTATCAGCTTACAAACACAATGTAATTTCCTCTCAGGAGGACATAAACTTACTATTGTCAGTGGTAGCTGAAATCATGTGATACAATCATGATGCAGATGTATAAGTTCAGGTAACTTCCTGTCTGTAAGTCCAAATATTAATTTCTAAATGTAAAATACACAGTACGTATGTGTTCGTTCATGCATGTTGAGGTTCAAAGTGGTAAACAATAATTACCTGAAAGTCACACATTGACAGATGTCAGGATACTTACTCAGACTCTTTATTGTTTAGTCAAGTCCTTTTTTAATGAAAAGTCATTATTTTAACTTACATATCACACTTACATATCAAAACAGTCATGTACAGGAACTAATGTAATTTATATCATTCAATTTTATAACAGTCACGATTGTTCTTTACAAATATTGTTGTGCTGCTGCAGTGAAGGTTGACTTTGCTGTTTAGTCCATCGGTTCGTTATGTTGACAGTCGGTTCTAGTTGAGAGACAAGACGCGTCTTCTGAGAAAACCAAGGACGACAAAGAGCAGAGTTGGAGCTGCAACCACAGCAACAGCAGTAGAGAACTGTGGGAGACAAGACAAACAATAACAACAAAATATATATATGTATACATTCTTTTTTTTTTTTTTAATTTCTTGTGTGTTTTCTTCCTGGAACAGGTACACAACGCATTTCACTGTGCGTTATACCATGTATAACTGTGTTTGTGACCAAGAAAAGACCTTGAATCCTTGATATTACAGTATTGTATGGTTGTACTGCTGACCTGAGGCCAGGTTCACAAGGAATTTTTGGACTGAACAGCCATGTGAGGCGATTTGTTTTAGCTTAACTCTGGCGCAAGAGAATGACTGATTCATTTGAAACCCAACTTAAGATGACAAATGAGAGCTCCAATCGTAACACTCGTTGACCAGCAACAGCTGCCAAAAACAGAAGCCTTAAAGAGACAAGAGCTAAAACAGTGTTTCAGACTGATGGCTTTTAACATTAAAGAATGTAAACGTACGCTGGTAGATCCCAAAAATAAAAGGATAAAACTTTGCATGGGTTCTTTTTATATTCTATCCTGCATGTGCTAAACCAAATGTGCAGGGAGAATATTATGATAATTACTGAGTTAATAAGCAGCAACAAATCAGCACATCACACTAACCTTGATAGCAGCACTATAGTCCTTTTGGAATGATTGTAGATATACATTGAAGAGGGCAAGACTGCAAGGTAAGTATGAATCTGAATCTTCTGAGTCCCTGCACCTTTTGAAGGAAGACAGGGGACATTTTTATAACAGATTTATACATTTATACATTTATACTTTAACAACTGATGTACACATACTGCTCAAACACACCTTTTGTACAAAGCACTTCGGAGCAAATTGTTGTCTGCTAGATACAACTCTGGGAGGCCAAGGTCGGTTAGTATAGACAGTGGCAGCCTGTAACCCTCTTCAGCTAACAGGCCGAGGTTGTACCATCCCTGTGGAAGATAAAAAAGAATGACTTACACATATATAAAATTATGTCTGAACACAGGAGATGCATACAGCAAGAAAATCAGCCTAAAAGCCGCAGACCTGTGGATTCTTCCTCAGCGCTGCCAGCGTGTACATCCGTGCTGCAGAAAGCAGGTCTTTCTGCCTGTCATCACGCCCGTCATACAACAGGTCACCCATCCTAATAAAGGCTGCAGACGTAATAGAATTACAGGTCAGTCGCATGAGTCTGCAGATATTTAATTTAATTTAAACCTTGTGACTTACCGTAAGTGTCAGGATCTTGACTTTGAATTGTGAGGTTATAATATCTCCACATACAGTCTGATGCATAAACAGGATCCAGAAAACTTCCCTATTGACATACAGAGTGAAAAAGATTCGTAAGAATAAGTGAACAAAACAGGAATATGACAAGGAAACTAAAGCTAACAGAGAGAAATTTCAGATTTAGATATCTAAAACTCACTGTGTTTTGTTCGCACAGATATGCCACATTAAACTGTGCAGCTGCGTACCCCGATTCGGAAGCCATCATGTAATATAACAGTGAATTAAACCTGTAGAAAAGGTAGAACGTTAATTTCCTGTAACCGCTAACTGGTTAGTCTAAACAGGATTGTGGCAAGTTGATAGAGAAAAACATTACATGTCATCCTTGAGATAGGAATCCAAGGCTTTTCGTAAGATGCTGCCCAAGTACCCGTTGTGCTCAGCTGCCCACTTTACCCATCTGCAGTCAGTCAAAAAGACATTTCAGCTGAGAAATTAGGAAATATATAAGTTAAGAGAAATACATAAAAGGGTGGGTAACTAACAAAACAGCATCTGATGGACGTCTGTTGACAAGGCCTGGCATGCCAGTGCTCCAGATGTCAGCAAGGAAAGTTGCTCCCCTGATGTGTCCTCTCTGTGCAGACTTCAGATAGTACTTATAGGCCACATACTGCATACGACAGACACATTATTCACTTCAAGCACTCAAGACTAGTGTGTTACTATACTAGTAACTATGCTTTTACAGTTGAGCTAACCTGATTGGCAGCTTTTCCTGGATACAGACCCTGCGAGTACATGACACCGAGATTAAAAGCAGCCTCCGGACACTCGAGGAGGTCGGCCTGCTCCCACAGCTGCACCGCCTGCTTGTAGTCCTGCTGGAACTGCTCATAGTACCAGGCCAGGGCGTTTATTGCAGGAACAAAACCCTAAAAAACAGACTGTTGTAAGAAGCTGCACGAGGTGGGCAAACTATGAGTGGGACTCCTAATGTTACAGAGTGGATAATAAATGAGCAACAAAGTAGTAATTAACAGTTAATAAGATCAAACCTGGTCCATTGCTTTCCTCAGGAATGTGATGGCTTTCGGAATGTCTTTTTCAACCCCCTGCCCCTACAAAGACAAAGGTTAATAAATGTAAATATGACTAAATGCTAAAGTTAGGATTAGACTTTCAGTAGCTGAAGATACTCATTATGTTTTCTCATTGTATGTTCGATGCTAATCTGACCTGCAGAAGTATAATCCCATAGTCATACATTGACACTGGGTCCTCCAAGTGGACAGCTCCCCGTCTGTAGTGTCTCACAGCCTCCTGGATGTTTGGGGAAACTCCCTGCTGACCCCAGAACAGCATGCGGGCAATAGCTTGCTGCAAGACAGATGCTGGGTTGTTACTAGAACACTAAATATTTAAATCTTCTCATCATCTAGCAACACAAATGAGATGAGAAGATTAAACATTGCAATTTTGTAGGTTCTTTAAATGGTTGTTTTATATCTTCTGATTTAATGACTCAGATTTTTAGAAGTATTTCAATGAAATTGTCTTATGCTGTTTAAGGGAGTAACAAATTAAAGCACTTAAGAAATTTTCAGGCAAATGGCCCAGAGCACGAAGAAACAATTATCCCGAGCAGGTGCTAATGAACGTCATGTGTAGTTTGAACCAAACTCATTAACCGAAAGAGAAACAGCTGTGCAGGAGGGAATACAACCGAGAGAGGGTCGGACGTATGAAAAATGTGAGGCTGCCGCAGAAGAGACAGCGTCATCTAAAAAATCCTACATCAAGGAAAGAGTGAGCGGAGCAGCGAGACTCAGTGTGGTCATCCTGCATCAGCAACGTCTTTCGCAGGCAGAAGGTCACGGCAGACAGGTGTCTTCTGATGTGCTGTCCAAGCTCTTTTGCAGAAGCATGAAGGATGGGGGAAGGCTGATTTCTCCTTAAAAGTACCAGAAGTCCAGAACTGACAGAAACCAGTAAGACACTAGTTTACCATCTATCTACACTCTGGAGAAGTCTGATCAGAAGTGGTCTTTGAGGAAAATCCAACGCTCGGTTTTGAAACTGATGAAAAGGCAAAATTTGAAAGATGCAGCTCTGTTGAGGAGCCACAGGAGCTATGAGAATGAGTGTCTGCAAGTATCAGTAAAGTATGGTGGAGGTTCCTTGTAGGTCTGAGATTGCAGTTTTGCAAACAGGGTGGAGAATTTGGTCAGAGTACCAAAGGACTACTGACAGTAACGGGCTGAGCAAAAAGTCCTGAGACAGATGGGACAGCCCTGATCTTAACATCACTGAATCAATCTGAGTTTAGATGAAGAGACTAAAGCAGTTGAAACACATCTAATCCACAGAAGAACTTTGGTAAATTGTCCAAGAAACAACGAGGTAACAACACGGTGGCCAACCTCCGCCTCAGCTGTTCCCCTGCGCGCCTGCAGTTTGAGCCACTGGAAGATATGGTGACCTTCACTGGTCTGGAGATTCAGAACCTCGTCATTGTTCAAGTAAACAGCCTCGACAAATGTCTAAGAAAAATGAGAAGACACATTTTAAAACTGAAGACTGTTCTTTTCTTTTACTCAAGTCCAAGTACACAGTTTCAAATAACCCAGGATGCAGCTCTGTGTACTGAATGAAACACAAAGCACTTCTGAGCACTAGACTAATAAAACCACCTTCATCAT